AATGTTGGAGTAGCTCCAGTAGAAGATAAGATTAGAGAGAGTCGCCTTAGATGGTTTGGTCACATAAAACGGCGACCTTCCAATGACCCGGTTAGGAGAGTAGAGGTATTAGATTTGACTTATGTTAAGAAAGGTAGAGACAGACCTAAAAAGACTTGGTTAGAAAATATTAGGAATGACATTTCTTTATTAGATTTAAACGAGAATTTGACCTTTAATAGGACAATGGAGAAAAATGATTCATGTAGCTGACCCCACGTAGTGGGATAAAGGCTTGTTGTTGTTGTTGTAGAAATTAAGGGAAATAAAATGACTAAAAAAATTTAAACAAGAAATAAAAATGATAGTTAATGGATTTTTATGCTTAAATAGGTTGGCTAAGCATTCCAAAATACTCATAATCTTCACAAATTTGATCAGTTTTTTGTTGGTAAATTATGAGCTAGTATGAGTGATAATTTTGGGTGATAGTCTAGCGTAATTTGATCACTGCTTCAATGGTTTCATTAGCTTTGGCTTTCTTCTCTACCCATGTTATGATGTAGTTGATTGTTACACTATAAGGAGAGAACAACCAAAATCTGTACTCCTCGTGGCAAACAATGTAGCGCAGGTGATTTGTCAGAGCTCTTGAACATGCACTACCTTTTCTCGTAAAATATTTAGCATACCTTTATAGTGTATTCTAGTAGAAATGATGTCACATACAACTTCTTTACAATGATTTCTTTGACTGGATGGCTTGCACACTCTCTAGAATTAATTTCTTCTTGAACTTTTTATGCCTTGTCCAATGCTAGGGCAGGGAGTAAAGTAGGATCTATGACATGGTTCTCCAAACAATACACCATTAGAGATAAGATACCTAGCTGATTGGCCATGTGGAATTTTTTAATAGAATGGCACAAATATTTACTTGATATCAAGATAGATGTCATTTGAACCCAAATACTAATATATTCAACATGGGCTTGTGAGCGTCGATGGAAGATAGATTTAGGGGCTTACATCTCATGAGATGTAAGACCCAAGTATCATTTCATTGTCTTGCGAAAGGAATGAATACGTTTTGGATAAGATGAAGTGACTTAGGCTTCGTTTGGGGCGGTTTTCTTATTGCTTTTTTAAGTAGCTTTTTAGTACAAAACATAAAATTTTTATACTAAAAAACTGCTTTAAGAAGCAATAAGAAAGCCGTCCCAAATGAAGCCTTAGTCGAGATTCTTAAGGATGCTCTCAATATTTGCAGAGGAATCCTAAGGATTGGGAGAGTTCATGAGAAGGAATATGATTTCTTCTCAAGAGTATAGGATATTTCTAATCAACTTTCGTGAGCATGGTAATGAGTGTCAATTAGAGTTTACTTTAGGGGAGGATAATAACTTATGGATCTCTTGGTTCTTTGAAGGAAAGTTTTGCAAAATAGATTAAGAAAGGTCATTTTTGTAGTGGATACCACATAAACTTATGATCGGAATCGGACCTCTGCACAGTGAAAACAGTAAGAATGAAGAGCAGGAAAAATTATTATAAATTTTGGATATTTATTTTTATAACATTTAATTTTTAAATAATATAAAAAATATAATTAATATTAATTTATTGACAAGAAAATATGTATTTTCACATATATACTTAATTGTAACTAAATAATCAAAATGATATATAAGTAAATGTAAACTTTTAAATATTAGATGTCTAAATACATAAGAAATAAGAAATACATATGATTATAAAATAATTTGTTATAATCATTAGATTAAAAGATATTAAATAAAATACTCTGTAGAGCATTGTACCAATCCACTATAACAGAAACAAATATCATCTGAATCGTTGCATGGTTTAAATCTGCTGATCAATTACATGAACCCGCAGGGCTTCAGAAAAGTAGATCCAGATCGATGGGAATTCGCAAACGAGAAATTCCTGTGCGGCCACAGGCATCTTTTAAAGGAAATCAAGCGGCGTCGACAAGTTGGCCAGACATCACAGCTGCAGAATCCATCACAGCAGCAGAGTGAAGGAGCTGGCCGAAGACCAGCTTGCGTTGAACTAGGACAGTTTGGGTACGACTTTGAGGTCGATAGACTGAGAAGAGACCGTGGGACTCTTCTTGCAGAGATCGCAAAGCTCAGACAACAACACCAGAACTCCCAGGCTCAGCTACTTGCCATGGAGGAACGCATTGAAGGCACTGAACGTAAGCAGAGGAATACGATGGCTTTCATGGCGAGAGCTCTTAACAATCCTATTTTTATTCAGCAGCTCATTGTCAGAAGCCAAGGGAAGAATAAGCGTTCGGAGGCTTTGCAGACCGTGGAAGAACTGGAAATGGCTTCGGAGATAGAGTCTATCCTTGGTGCTGAGAGGAGTACGGAGGCTGTGTTCGGGCCTTATGGAGAGGAGATCGGTGAGATGAGCAATGTGATGTGGGAGCTGATGAACGCAGGAATGGTGGCCAGTGGTTTGGAGAGTGATGTGAAGGCGGAGAGCTTTGGTGAAGGATCGATGGCGCCTTGGTTGGTGTGAATGCCATTGCCACTGTGGTGGAAGCAGAGTGAGGTGGCGGAGTTAGCTCTTTGTGATTGTGTATGGGAGAAATCATGTTGGAATTGTGTATGGTTAGGTTGAAAATTTTGTCAAGGAACTTTTTTTTTTCTTGGCGCTTTTTGTTTTAAATCATGATTTTAGGAGTGCTATTATGGAAATTGCAATTTTGTGTATGTGGTTTTAGGCTTCGTCTGGGGCGGCTTTTTTGCTGCTAGTTAAAATAAAATTTTAATATAAAAATTTTAATTTTTGTATTAAAAAAATATTTTAAGAAGCAGTGAGAAAGTCGTCTCAAATGAGGCCTTAGTCTTATTGTAAATATGTGTAGTTTTGAATATGTGAGTAATTTCTCTTGTAAATATGATGTGTTTGTTTGTGTTAGGATAATAATTGGACTGCATTTGTTCAAAACAACAACAACAATATCAAGCCTCTGTCCCATTATGTGGGGTCGGTTACATGAATTCTTTTTCGTCATTGTGTCTGGTTAAAAGTCAAATTATCATTTAAATCTAATAAAGAAAGATCATTTCTAATAATTTCTAATCAAGTCTTTTTAAGTTTACCTCTATCTTTCTTAACATAAGTCAAATTTAATACCTCAACTTTCCTAACCGGGTCATCGGGAGGCCTTCGTTTAATGTGACCAAACCATCTAAGGCGACTCTCTTTAATCTTATCTTCCACTGGAGCTACTCCAACCTTTTCACGTATATGCTCATTTCATATCCTATCTCTAAGGGTCAAGCCACTCATCCACCTAAGCATCTTCATCTCTGCAACACTTAACTTAGTATTATGCTTCTCTTTTAATGGCCAACATTCGACATCATAAAGCATTGCAGGTCTCACCACCATCTTTTAGAATTTTTTCTTAAGTTTGAGGGGGACTTTTCTATCACACAATAAGCTCGATGCATTCCTCCACTTCAACCACCAACTTGAATTCTGCTGATAATATCCTTATCAATTTCACCATCACTATGAACAATAGATCCAAGATATCTAAAACATGTACTCTTATTAATGACTTGATCGCCAAAAGTCACAATCCCCTCACTAGGTCTATTGCTATTAAAATTACACTATATATTTAGTTTTAGATCTACTCAAGCGAAAACCTTTAGACTCTAAAGTTTACCTGCATAATTCAAGTTTACCTTCAACTCCCTCTCTAGTCTTATCAACAAGAAGAATATCATCAACAAAAAGCATGCATACACCAAGGTACATCCTCTTGTGAATGTCTAGTGAGAACATCCATGACTAAAGCAAAAAGATATGGACTTAAGGCTGATCCTTGATCTAATCCAACCGAAATAATAGGAAAATACTTGGTCAAATCACCTTGTGTTTGAACACTGTAATAGCTCCTGCATACATATATTTAATGATTTGAATATAAGCATTATTAACTCCTTTCTTTTCAAGAACTCTTCATAGCACTTCTCTTGGAACTTTATCATATCCTTTCTCTAAATCAACAAATATCATATGTAGATCCTCCTTTTTCTCTCTATATTTCTCCATCAAACCTCTCAATAAATGTATGGCTTCCATAATAGACCTACCCGGCATGAATCCAAATTGATTTGAGAAACATTAGTATCACGCCGCAACCTACACTCCATAACTCGCTCCCATAGTTTAAAAGTATGACACATTAACTTAATTTCTCTATAATTTGCACCCTCCTGTGCATCACCTTTATTCTTAAAAATAAGAATTAACACACTCATTCGTCACTGATCTTGCATCTTTTTAGTCTTCAAAACAATATTAAAAAGTTTAGTAAGTCAAGAAATTCCTTCATCTTCTAAGCATTTCTACATCTCTATTGGAATATCATCAGGTCCAACAGCTTCTCCACACTTCATTTTCTTTAAAGCCTCTCTAACTTTGGTTTTATTTATACACCAATAAAAACAAAAATCTTTATTTTCATTTAGGGTGATAAAGTCACTAAAGTCAATCGTATTTTCACATTCTTCATTAAAAAGTTTAGCAAAATACCTCATCCACCTTTGTTGAATATCATCTTCTAAGAAAAGTATTTTTTGATCTTCATCCTTAATATACTTTACTTGAACTAAATCCTTACTACTTCTATATCTTTGTTTGGCTAACTTATACATATATCTTTCTCTCTCCTTAATATCTAATCTATTGTATAAATCATTAAAAGCTAAGCTATTAGCATCGCAAATAGCTTTTTTAGCTTCCTTACGAATTGCATAATTTATTTATTAAATGATTTAGGCAAATTGTGTTCGGATCATAATCAAGAGAGTCATATAAGCCATGCTGTCCCAATAATTTCTAGAGATTCTGATCGTAAAAATGGGCTTTTTGGCCTAAATATGTCAGTAGTGTACACAACACTTTGAATTACAAATGGCCCATAAAAATACAATTAATATTAATTTATTTAAAGCATATCACATCTTTCAGGTATATATTTTAATGTGCTTCGGGTATTAAAGTGGCATGTATGTAAATATAAAAAATTTACTTGTTAGATATGTAAATTCATAAAAAATTTATGATATGTATATAAATCTTCACTTTTTTTAATCATAAAACTTCATTGTATATATATATATATATTGTATATGTATTGTGTATGTATTTTATATAATATATGTATTGTATATGTATAATATTGTGTTGTGTAATATAGCATATTATATAAAATAGTATATGGTATATAGTATGTAGTATGACATAGTATAGTATATTATATAGTACATATAATAGTATAATATAATATATTATAGTCTACTGTAGTATTTAG